AGATAGATAGATAAAGTAGTTGAACACCTACTAATTTCCTGAAACAATTTCCTGGTCAGCACCCATCAATTGATTAGAAACCAGCCCCAAACCTGCATGGGAACAGTTTTTCAGAAGGCCTTTACAGAAGCAGAGTAAAAATGTGGCAACCCTTTGGATCAACCATATATTATGCACAAAACATTCCTTTTTCTCCCTCACTGACTTCAACCCTGCATTTTCAACGAGATGGGCTCTTTAATAGCTCAGTTACACAAGCCAGAGGAAAACAAACATACTTATTAGACTGTTTTTCACCTCCCTGACTCTGAGAGCATAGCTATGCCAAGCTAAAAAGAGTGGGAAAGCAAGAAATGAAAGACGAAAACCATAGAAAAGATGGAAGAATTACAGGAGAGAACTCAGGAGAACAGAGCTTACCAGAAAAATGTATGTGATATATACATATATAAAGTCTTCCACTACCAAAATTAAGAAAGTCATTGGAAATATTATTTCCCTAACTGTGAAACTCACTATGTGCAAACAACTCAAGAACATAACCAATTTGACAAAAGGATTACCAGTATCCAATAACCATTAAGCTTTTAACTTCATAGAAGTATTTCACAGGAAGACTTTAAATGCAAGTAAGGGGGCTTTCTGATGACCCAGGGGTTAAGTCTAAGTGCTATCAACAAGATGGCCTGAGTTTGATCCACCAGATAGGAAGCTAACCTACATATGGCACAGCAGACCTCTCCTGTCCCCACTGATGACCTCAGCAGTGTATTTCAGGAGATCCACCTATTCTGCTCCGCACAGTGTTTTTGGTGAATCCTCTCAACCTCTCTCACCATGGCCTACACCCCAATTCTATGCAAAAATAAATTTTAAAAATAAATAAATATAAGCAGAGATCATCAGAAAGAAGTCAGTCAGAAAAAGAGTCACTTAGGGCATGAGGAATCGCCCACAAAGTTTAGTACACATTCTGCTTTTGTATATACACCTGAACTTTTAAAACAGAAAAGTAGAAATACAAAAAAGTACATGTCAATGGAAATATCAGAAATCCAATCATTCTCTATAAAACTAACAGCAATAGGCCCTCCCTGGTGGCGGAGTGGGTTAAAGCACAACATGGAGGAGCTAAAGCCACTTCTGCATGAGTTCAATTCCGGCCTGCCCCGGAGGAGACCACATGGCGTGGCAGACCTCTCCTGACCCGCCCACTGCTCCCCTCAGCAGTGTACTTCATCAATCTGCCTGTTCTGCTCCCCACTCTGTCTCTGGTGAAGTCTCTCGCCGCCCCTGCACCTCTAGCCTGTACCCCAGTCTGTATGCATAAATAAATAAATCTTTGGGAAAAAAAAAAAACTAACAGCAATAAAAAGACTAATTCTTCCTGCACCGTCATTTGATACCCCTCTGTTTCAAACGAAATGTTTAAATTGTTTAAAGCCAATACTCAGAATACATAAATAGAAAATAAAACATTTCACCAAATAAGCAGCCATATAAAAGAATGCATGTTTTGGTGAATGGAAAGTATGGCATTAATATACAGGCCTATCTACAAAATAAGATGGTTTAAGTCCTACATCACAGAGAGAAAGCACAAAATGGAGGTCTACAAACACACAATCCACAATAAGTGTTTTAGTAACACATTCCACAAGGATCTATCAAACTTTTCAAATATGTGACTTTGTGAAGCACTAAATGAATTAAGTTCTAAATTAAAATCAATGAAGAAAGAAGAGTCTATTTAATTTTCTTTTGATATGGATTTGTAATCAAGACCTGAACAATGTGGTGACTGGTCATAAGTTAATTTAAATTGGAAAACCACTGAAGGAAGGTAATTTGCAGTATATTAAGAACTTCACATTGGATCAGAATTTATATTTACAACAGGTTATCAGAATTATATTTTACATTGTCCTGAAAACACCTCATAAACTGCAAAAATTACATACAAAGCATGTATCTCAAAATGAATTTTACTTCAAAATTAACCTGCAGCAGTACATGGTTCACAATTCCCCTCACACCACTGTGTATGAAAAGTATTTTTACAACATATAAGTAAACCAGTATAACCAAAAACTATTATATGCAGAATGATAATATTTTAAGTCTCAGAACTGTGCCAGCTAGAGAAATATTTTTATGAAATTATTATTATGAAAGTATAATAAATGAGAGGACAGTTTTGGAGTCAGGTATAAAAAAACAGGATAAAATGATATCTGCAGAAAATACAAAATTTACTAAAATTTCAACTTAAAACTTATCTTTGTGTTAAGTGCCCAAATAAGAAAACAGTTCTGTGTTAAATTTTTTCAAGTGAACTATTTAAAATATCCCTTTCAGGTGATTTTCCTATTCCAGTATTTTCTTTCTTGATGCTTTCAACAGTTTTGAGTTGAAAACCCTAGAATTCGTATTTTAATTTTACTGCTGTTAATATTCCATAAAGCCTTCCCAATTTACCAGGTCTCACAATGGAGTAGTTCACTCTTTCATAATTTTAAAGAAGCTCCAACAAGGACAGCGCTCATACTGACCCCTCAATCATCTATCAGTGAAAACAGCAGCTAGCATCTCACAGTCACACTTCATATACCCCCGGTTACCAAATATTATGGTAAAAGCACACAGAATAAACATGGCAGATGCTTCTTCATCCCCTACTTTTGTAATATTAGATCACTTGTTTTATTTAACATAAAAAGTAAAATTTATTAGGGGAGAAAAATACAAAATCTTCATGAGTACTGTGGGTGGAATTTCACTCTCTTCCTTGAAGGGATTTGTTGGTGGAAGCACTTGAGACACAAGGTCACCCAGGCTGTCCAAGGTCAGTAACTTTGGAAACAGATCATAGGCAACCAAGATTATCTGGCTCAGCTTGCACCCCCTAGGATCAAAGAGCTCTTTCCTTCCCTCCATAATAATACCTCCTTGCTAGCTAGCATTCCTTTCATGAATTCCTCCTCCTCACTCTGTGACACCACCTCTCACAACTGACTTTCTAAAACTATGCTAGGTGATGTACCTATGCATTATTTTTCCAGTGTCTAAAATCCTACTAGAAATATCCCTGGCTATGAAATATTCAAAACATTTAAACATGGATAGTGATATCAACATTTTCGGGATTATTTCATAATTTTTTAATGAAATTCAACTGATAAGATCAAAATAAACATACCCTAAAACAACACACATTGATCTCCATGTCTAAGACACAAATTAGGCATGATGGCTGAGGATATATCCCTGGACTTACTCATATTTTTCTGTCTTGGGGGGCACTTAAAATTATTTATTATGAGGGTAGTTTTATTAACTCTTCAGAGATAGCATTTTAATAAAATATTTTCAGATAATCAACTAAGTGAATGCTTAAGGGGATAGTGTATTTATCATTTTGAGAGCTGGTAAAAGTAGATTTTTCCTATTCCATGACACAAATATAAGAACAGGTCAGTTTAAAATCTGTTCATAAAATAAAGTGACTTATTATTTATTATTACTGTCATAGTCTCTTGACAGCAGTGGTTCATAATCTCTTTGGGACCAAGCCCACTGAAATGATTGACGATGGCTTGCCAGGAATCCACAAATATGCCTAATTTTGAATATAATTACAGAGTCAAATTACCTGCATCCCACTCACAGACTCTGTTTACCTCCTAGAACTGGGATCCCTGAAAAGACTACTGCAAAATCTCAAACTCAAAATTACTACTCATTTAAACATTCATACAAGCAAAACTAATTGTCTAAACTGTTTAAGAAAACATAATCTAGGTCCCTTCCTGGTAGCATAGGGGGTTAAATCACAGCATGAAGAAGCTGAAGCCACTTTAGCATGAGGTTGAGCCCTGTCTGGGAGGTGATCCAAATGGTGCAGCAGACTTCTCCAGTCTCACCAGCTGCTCCCCTCAGCAATGTACCATCCATCTGCCTGTTCTGCTCCCCACTCTGTCACTGGTGAACCCTCTCACTGCCCCTGCATCTCTGGCCTATACCCCAGTTCTGTATGCATAAAAAAAAAAATCTTTAAAAAAAAAAAAGAAAGCTGAAAATCTTTACAACTGTTATTTGTGATTTAACATTATACCTATGTTCTCCTTTACAATTTTATCACACCAAAACTTAGAAAGAATCCAGTGGTATCAAAGGTGCATAACAAGTATAAAAACTGTGGCAATTCACTTCAGATTTTTTATTACATTTGTGTCTATATAACATTGGGGGGCCAAGGGAAGCCCTCTATAAGTGAGAAAACAGCTGAAGGGCAAAATCATACTGCTGCCTTTATTGGATGCAGGCCTAATGTCTTTCAGATAAAATATTTGTAGGTGCCACAGTCAATCAAGATTTCAATAGAAACCAAAGATGAAAGCATTCATGCATAAAAGGCAAGTGTGATAATTATGATGTGCAGACAAGATAATGAAAAATATCCAAGACTGCTTTTCATTTTATGTATCAAGTGCTGCCTTGACCTAGACTCCTAAAATGCTCCATCACATTTACTGCATTATTTTATCATTTTAATTATTTAGCAGAATTCAATTAATTTGGCTGGCATCTAGTCAGCAAATGGTAATCCTCCACTGTTTTAAAACATCTTATCTCTGTGTCATTTCTCAAAATAATGCTACAAAACAGTTTTAAATAAACACACAATGGAGTTTAAAGTTCTTGTTAAATCTTCAACTTTATTTACCTCTTACTGATTAAATGGCACCCATTTCCTAGAAAATCATTTTCAAATATTTTATATCAAGTTATCTACAGCTTTTAGTAGACATTTAAGCATGACTTTATACTTATAGTTTACTTTGTCTCTACTTTTAAAATTCTCTGGTGGTTAAGACAAATGGAAAATGGAATAATTATTACTGAAAAGAGAACAGTTCAGCCTATAGGTTTAACACAAAGTTCATTTCCTATGTATTTAAGGATTATGGTAATCATTTTCTAAGCTATGCTCTAAGTTGCTCTCCAGAACCAGGATTTATCCACCTAAATATTCAAGTAAAGAGTGCTAACAAAGTTCAAGATTACAATTGACATTACTATTATTACTATTAACTACATTATAAAAGCACTAAGTTTTTAAAGTTATTGGGTTGCCAGATTATAACAGTACTTCTTACAAATGTGATATTTTAACTGTTCAATCCATAATATAAAACTTGGAGAAAACCAACTCAAAGACATCAACAATTTTGTTCTTTTCCTACTAGAAGGCAAACCTAATATATCAGTGAACTTAGATCATCACCTGATAAATGGGTAATATTCACTGAGGAGTCAATCCTGGATAAAGGTTTAACAGAATGTCTTATCCTTAAGTTATTAATTGAAACAGCTTTCCCTAGACATAAGTTGCTATAAACCAACTTCTTCCTTAGTAGGGATGTTTAGCAAAACAGAAGACAATGATAAGATTTGAATCTGATTCTCCTCTTCTATAAGTAGGTGAAGGCAGCACAGATTTAGCATGGAGAAAAAAGAAGGCACTCTTTGTATACTCAAGTGGGCACAGAATAAAACCCAGAATTCCTCCATCTAGTGATTATAATTATGAACAAAACTGTAGAAAAAAGTCAAGTTATAGTAAAGTATGTTGAATCCTGCCAACAGAAGAAAACATACAATCTTGTGTTTACCTAATGTCCTGTTGACATTCACCTTCATGCTACCATAAGGACACTCAGAAACCAGTAAGTCAAACAAGAAGCAGAAGTCAGGAGGAGATTTAGCATTATCCCTTTGGTGAAATAAGGCAAAATAAGAAGTATTCATAAAAAGTTACTCTCTGTGATATAGCACCATGTTCCTTGGAACTTATTTCAAGGATGTAACTTAAAAGAAGGAATAATATTATTGGCACAGTAATGTTAAATGTTATATAAAAGAGGAAAAAAGGAAATAACCAAAGTAGGTTAAACACATCACTTGATGAAATACTAAGCAGTCAACTAAAATAACCATGAAGACTATGCAACTGGGAAAGATATCCACAAATTAATGTGAAAAATACTTAAATTGTTCAAGCAGAAACATTTAAAAGTTGATGATTTTGAAGAATAAAATTAACAGAGAGACATTCAGCAGTGCAAAAATACTTACCCAAAGAAGAAACACAGAAATTAAGTTTACCTTGAGCTAGTCTTTCAAGTCGTTTTCCATGCTCCGGAGGTATTGCATACCTAAAATTTTAAACATAAATAAAAATTTCAGGTTTACAATTGTTCAGCTAGTATTGTAAGGATACCTATTCCTAAATTATGTCATGTAAAAAAATTCAACACCAATCTCTACTTAGGTGAACTAAGTAGATTCTAAAAAACGAGTCATATAGTTGTAGACAATGGACACTAGACAGAAGAAAAATAAACTTATAAATCACCTATTTTACTGTCCCAGCTCACCATTCCAACCACATTTTACAAAATAAGGAATTCAAGGCCAGCAAACTGCTTGGCCAATGAGACATCGAGCCACAGCCCAACACCATATCTACCTGCCAACACTCATAGCACCCACACAAGCCACGAATATTTGGGGTTCTATGAATTTTTTGGTGTGTGAGTGTGTGTGTGTGATTGATCAGTTAGTGTTTTGTTTTTAGGAAAACCAGGATAGACTTTTTTAAACCTTTTTAAAATGATTTTGTTGACAAGCACATACTCAAAATTATTATACCAACATTTATATTTCTACCAAACATTTCTAAGAATATTGTAATGTCCAATAGATTGTAAATTAAAAAAAAACTCTTAACAAAGCAGCTTTTATTTATTTCATGATTATGTCACTTCTAAAATCTTGACTATAGAGAAAAATAATTTTTTGCCTTTGAAGAACAAATACTCATTTCTAGTTCCTCTATTTTCTAAAGTGAAGGAACTGAATTTTATTTACTGTGAACTTGCAAATAAATATTAAAACAATAATCTCATAATACATCACACAACACTAAAATTTATAGTCAAGTTTAATGAGGATATTTAAGGATATTAAAAATAAAGCTAAATGTTCCATTCCTATTTTAAGTATAAATGATGCTATTCTAAAGATCTACATATTCTATATTTACTAGCTCAGTATATATTAAGTACAAGTTACTTTTTACTCAACTAACTTTTCTAATTTTACTTAATACCACACTTCATTGCATTTAATGCCACTTATAACATATGCAAAACTTAATTGGATCTGATGTCACCAGGCAATGCTCTAAAAGAAAATTCAACCATATATCCTATTCCTTAAGGCACTGTTAATGAAATTATTCCAACTGAATTTGGAAGATAAAATTTTAGCATAACTAAATGACAACCAACCAATGTATATTTACGACCGCTTCTTACCAGTTTTTAATCCCTAATCGCTATCACCAAATATAGCCAAGAAAAGAAAAACAGAGATATATATACCCCAAACAAAAGGGCCACCTGTGAAAAACTTTGTATGCTTCTCCATCCCCTGTTACTGATTGACTATTTTGTTAAATATGTAAATAATGTATGCAAACTATAGACCACTGGAAGTGACTCAACATATATAGCTGTATGATTCTTCAAATAAAAACAAACAAAATTTCCCAGGTCCAAAGCCCTGACAATTACTATCATTAAAGTCTGTTTAGGTACCTATAACAAAACAGCCCAGCACAAACCACTTTAATATAATCTACTTAAGTTCAACAGATAGTTACTAAGGATTTTTCACATATAAAGCTTTTCAGGAAAAACTCCAGGCATTTTCCATGTAATTGAAAGGGGGGTAAAGAAACACATCACTGTTAATAACATCTTGTGGATGATGTGCACACACTTCTTCTGGAAGTTTGGCCTGCAGTACAGGAATCTCATGAACTTCCAATGCAGATGTAATACCATGTAGCAGTTAGAAACCTTAGTTAGAAAAACAGTTAGGAGGGCCTTCCCTGGTGGTGTAAAGGATTTAAAGCACAGCACTAAAAGCAATCCATAGCCACTGCAGTGTTAGTTCAATTCCTGGCCCAAGGTGACCCAAATGGTGAGGGAGACCTCTCCTGACCCACCGCTGCCCTCCTCAGCAGTGTATTTCCATAGATCCGCCTGTTCTGCTCCCCACTCTGTCTCTGGTGAATCCTCTCACAGCCCCACACTTCTGGCCTGTACCCCAGTTCTGTATGCATAAATAAATAAAACTTTAAAAGAAAAAGAAAAAGTTATGAAATAGTGAAAGTGGCAGGGGAGAGGGAGATGACCTTTGATTTTGAAGCTATCACCACTGAGAGTGAATATCTCTACTGCTCAAACAGCCCCTCTGGTCAGATTCAAATATTAACTCTCTCCAGACAGATTTAAGCACTGCCCTTGAATCAAGTCCCAAGCACTGCCCCATTCCAGCTCCTCCCTGATAATTTCTATAACCGTTATAAATGTCAGCAATCTCATCCCTTTTCTTCCTCCCAGCGTCCTTCCATTATATTTTTCACGTAGTAATCATCTACCACTTTCCAAAGCTAATTGCTCTTAGGCATGCATAAGTCAACTTCGTCTGGATAGACTTTGGTCTATGAAAGAGAGAATGCTAATCACAACCAGGAAATTGTCACATGAATTACCCTTTTTACCTAGCAGGTATAGTGAGTGACTGCTTCATAGTCAGGCATTATGTGCTACCCATGCTCATATTTGCAGGGAATTCTCAATTCTCTGAGGATATGAGTATCTCACACTTCTCTGCATCCTTTGAAAGCCACCAAATAAGATATCTACCACTGATAGTTTCAAGTACATACCGATTTGCTGACAATATTAATTATTCATTTAACTTTTTTTTTTAAGATTTATTTATTTGTGCATACAGAACTGGGGTACAAGCCAGAGACTCAGGGGTGGTGAAAGACTTCACCAGAAACAGTGGGGAGCAGAACAGGCAGATCAATGAAGTACACTGCTGAGGGGAGCAGCGGGCGGGTCAGGAGAGGTCTGCCACACCATGTGGTAACCTCCGGGGCAGGCGGGAATAGAACTCATGCGGAAGTGGTTTCAGCTTCTTAGTGCAGTGCTTTAACCCGCTGCGCCACCAGGGAGGGCCTCATTTAATTTTTATGATAGTGCTTTTGTTTCAGAAATAGTGACTCAAGCAGTTCTGGTAACATTGAAAAAATACTAATCACTAATGAAGTAGGAACATACTAACTAGATATTTACAAGGTTATGTTTTATTCAAAACCAGCCTCATGTAAATTTTTTTAAGAAAATCTAATTTCAAGGTACATCTTTGTGTAGTTTACTCAAAGAATAGATTTAAAATTATGTTATCCTGTTGGGGCTAATATAAACACTATCATGAACTAAATAATAAAAAATTTACTTTTCAAACTGTCAGCAGGTAAATCATCATTTTTTTATTTTCCTTGATTCAGATTTTCTCTATAACAGGCCCTCTGTAGTTCCCTTTTGAAGATATGTCCAGTCCTTACAAATGTTTATGAGCACTTCTGAAAGGGAAACTCCTATTTCTCAGATCACTTCCTGGAAAGAAAGCCTTCCTAATTTCTTTTGGGTACCTGGGGCCATCACTAATCTTCTTAGAAACAAATCTTCTTAGCTCTCACTCCCTGCCCCCATCACTGTTACTGTGCTGACACAGGGGGTTGCCCTGAATCCTGTTAGTCTCACTAGTGGGTGTCGCTGGCATCTCTAGCTTGTGACAGCTCGGACAGTCTTACAAGTGCAGAGCCACAGAGTGAAAATCCCCTTGCAGGTCTATGCCATGCTCAGGCAGATTAATCCTACAATCAGGCTGTCCTTTTGTTAAGGGGAAAGGAGATCCGAAAGGAACTCTGCAGTTTTGTGGATTCCACCCCCTACTCCAGTTATTTGAAACTGCAGCTCCCAGCAATACCTAGGGAAGAACTGAGAGGACTCAAGGGCAGAGCTAAGCAGGTATTCTGGGACTTTTGGGGAGATATAAGGGAGCCATGTGAGAAGCGCTCTTACTCTGTACCTGGACCATGTAGTTCTTTCTGAACCACGTGGCTCTCTGGACCACGTGGCTCTCTGGACCACGTGGCTCTCTGGACCGAGTGGCTGGTGGCTTGTCATTTGGCTCTTGATGAACTTTCAGTATGTTATTGGAGTTCCAAGTCAGTGGAGCTAGTAGGATGTTCTAGTTAACTTGTATCTCTCTCTCTCTTTCCCTGGGTTGTACCTTTTCCTTTCCCCTTTGTAAATAAACCCATTATTGACCCTTTTTGTGTGTGCCTGCAGTACAATTGAATTTTAAGTACGCGGGTGAGGACCCACAGGCAGGCAACCCAGTTCACACTGGGTTGCCTTGTAATACTTTCTTCCTCTAAGCTGTGCATGAAGTGGTCCTTTCCTCCTTTGTTTTTATTTCTTTCTATTATTGTTCCTTAACTTGTAGTCATGTCCTCAAAAAAAAAAATTCAGCTCAAGTCCCCAAAGGTAAGTTTCTCATAGACAAATCTAAATTGACCCTCCCTTCCTTTGCTAGCATAAATCTGTGGGCCTGACTTGCTCTTTCTAGTTATTAAAGAGATGAAAGTCTAGTGAAAACAGTAACAATATTTTGAAAGCATACTAGCATCATTTCTCTGATTCAAATTTTCTCTGTGAACTGGTCGTCTGTATTTCTCTTGTGAAGATATGCTCAGCCCATTAAGGTCTATTAAACTTGTGATAAAAATCATTATAAATATTATTACAATTAAATATAAGTACAAATCTACAAATGGTACATTATTAAATGTGTCTACCATTTATCAAGCATTTATAACATGTCAAAATTTGTGCTAAGTTTCTATAATACAAGTTCTACTATTACTAGCTCCTCTTAACTGGTGAGGAGACCAAGTCTCACAAAGGCATTAATTTACATGTGCAAAATAGCTGGTACCCAACCTCAGACTTTCCCAACACTAAAGCTCAAATACATTCTCCACAGCCACATTTATTCCATTCCTGTTTCCCCATCAATCACCACAAGGAGGATGTCAACAGAACAGAGAGAAGAGATTTAGAAATCAGTCCCTGTCCAAGGACTCACCCATGCTTCCCACATTTAAAGCTCACCAGTGTG